TTTTTTTTTTTTGAGACAGAGTCTGTTACTGTTGCCCAAGTGTCACCACAGCTCACAGCAACCTCAAACTCCTAAGTTCAAGCGAGCCTCCTGCCTCAGCCTCCAGAGTAGCTAGGACTACAGCTGTGTGCCATCACGTCCTGCTAATTCTATTTTTAGCAGAGATGGAGTCTCACTCTTGCTCAGGCTGGTCTGGAACTTCCTACCACAAGCAATCCACCTGCCTTGGCCTCCCAGAGTGCTGGGATTACAGGTGAAACCACTGCACCCAGCCAATAATTTGAGTCTCCAGGTGAAGTAGAGGCCCTTAGTTAATATTTACAAAATATTCTCTACATGTTGGCCACCTCTTTGTAAAATTTCATAACAATATTTTGTAAATAAAGGTACGTTTAGGTACAATTTCTCATTTTCCATATGTATAGCAACTTTAGGGGTGACTTTTGGGACACCCTGTATTACAGGAATAAATGGATAGAAGACAGAAAAAAGGGGGGAAGGTTAATCTACCTTAGCATTACTATTTTTTAGAAGTAGAAGATAAGCTATTATTTGGTTAAATGTTTTCGTTTTTTCTTTTTGAGACAGAGTCTTACTTTGTTGCCCTTGGTAGAGTGCCGTGGCATCACAGCTCACAGCAACCTCCAGTTCTTAGGCTTAGGCGATTCTCTTGCCTCAGCCTCCAGAGTAGCTGGGACTACAGGCACGCACCTCAGTGCCTGGCTATTTTTTGTTGTTGTTGTTGCAGTTTGGCTGGGGCCAGGTTCAAACCTACTACCCTTAGTATATGGGGCCAGAGCCCTACTCACTGGGCCACAGGCGCCACCCCTGGTTAAAAGTTTTCTAAAACAGCTACAGTAGATCTGTTTTTTTAATGTTTAGTGTTGTAACTATGCATAAGAATGCTTAAAATCCTAGAGCCAGTTAACACCCCAAACCAATTAAGTCAGAATCTTTAGGAATGACTGGCATCGGTATTTGTAAAGCTCCCCAGGTGACTCTAATGTGCAGCCAAGTTGAGAACCAAACAAAACAGACCTAACAATGGGCACAGAGAATTGTGTCCTAGCCATTAGGAATTGGGGCACACATGTAGCCCCTGGCTGATAGCCTCCTTCCTCTACCCTTCAAATATTGGAACAATAGGAAACGGGTCATTTGTTTTCATTTGTTTTCAGGTGATGAGGTTGTCCCTATATAACTTCTACCTCAGGCTGGTAGTTACAGTGAAATATATTTCAGGAGATGTTTGACAACAAGTCTCCTTAAAGTAGATTAAGAATCAGTTATCTCTGGCTCAGCACCTGTAGCTCCAGTGCCTAAGGCGCCAGCCACATACACCAGAGCTGGCAGGTTCGAATCCAGCCTGGGCCTGCCAAACAATGACAACTACAACCAAAAAACAGCCATGCATTGTGGCGGGTGCCTGTAGTCTCAGCTACTTGGGAGGCTGAGGCAATAGACTTCCTTGAGCCCAAGAGTTGGAGGTTGCTATGAGCTATGATGCCACCACTGGGGGTGACAACGTGAGACTGTGTCTCATGTAAAAGGATCCAGTTATCTGAGTGTTCAAAGAAACCTCATCAGCAAAGAGCTGAATTGCATTAGTAAACTAAAGGAAATATATAATTAGAACCATGATATTGAACATGGTGGTCACCCTGAAGTTGTGGAGAAAAAGCCCTTACAATTACAGAATAAGATTATAAAAACTTCTTTAATCAAGACTTTTAAACATGAAACAGATTTTTTTGAATAAAATGGAAAGTTTCCAATACATTGAAACAAATCGGCAAGTCACCACATATAAAACACCCAGCAGGAAAACACAAAACATCAAATTCACACAATCCCTGTAACAGCCATGGTCTTATTCTCAGATATTCCCTCTATCTCCAAGTGCATTCTGGACACAGAGCATAAGGTGGCTCTGGGGCCACACTCCCCTGAGGCTGTGGCCCCCATCTGGCTGGGCTGTGGTAACTGGCTCTACTCAGGAAGTAAAGCAGTAACCAGCACATTCAAACAGTGTATTGAAGAAAGTGAGAAACAAGAAGGCAATGTAATAATGTTATCAGAAAGATGTTAGAAAGGACAGCTGTTTAAAGCTTCAGGCTGAAAAGTGGCTTGGCAGCTTCATTACTTTGGCTTCTTGGGTAGTGGGCGCCGGAACAGCAAGATGTGAGGTTCTGAAAGAGGGAGTGAAATCTAAGAGACATTCTATGCACAACCTATAGTGTTTTTCATCACCACCTCCCAGCTATCACCCACTCAGATCTTTATAACTAAATAAAGATTTAAGCATATGGCCTTAGAAGTAGACCCAGAAGTCTGGACTGTCTGCCAAGTACAGAATTGTTAATATTGGTTCTTATGCTATGTTTGCATAGCCCTGGGGTGTCCTTTATTAGTTTTGTCTGGCAGCTGGGTGTCTGGTGTCTTATCAGAAAATATACTTTCTTCTGCTTATTTGGAACATGTCCAAGAACTTGTTTTCTGATGGAGAATGAAGCAGGGGCCATAACCAGGGTACATGTGACCTTAAAAAAAAAGAGTATATTCTGGCCTGGCATGTGGCTAACAGCTATAATCCTAGCACTCTGGGAGGCTGATACAGGTGGATTGCTTGAGCTCATGAGTTCGAGACCACCGTGAGATTTAAAAAATTAGCTGGGCACTGTGGGCACCTATAGCCCCAGTTATTGGGGAAGCTGAGGCAAGAGGATCACATCAGCCCAAGAGTTTGGGGTTGCTGTGAGCTATGGCGCCAAGGCACACTCTAGTCAAGAGTGAAGCAAAGATTAAAGGAATTTTTCAGTGACAGGTCACCTCTGAACTTCCCAGATACCATTATTCTTTTTTTATTTGAGACAGAGTCTCACTCTATTGCCCTAGGTAGAGTGCCTTGGTGTCATAGCTCATAGCAACCTCAAACTCTTGGGCTCAAGTGATCCTCTTCCTTCAGCTTACCAAGTAGCTTGGACTATCCATGCCCACCACAACATCTGGCTAGGTTTTTTTTTTTTTTTT